GGGGGGGGCGGGGGCTGCGCGCTCCGGCGGATCAAAGCAAGTTCGATATAATGCGGTTTCACCTATAACGTGGTAAGATTTTTTGGCTCCCGAGGACAGCGTTATATCAGGGTAGAGGTGTATTAACCATTTTAACTCTCTTCTTTTTCTCTCATAAATAAACCTTTCGCTTTTAGTTACTATAGGAGTGGTGGCAGTGTGATTATAGGGTAACATCTGAGTTATAGGGCTTGGCTACACTTGCAAGTTACAGTGCAATAAAGGAGCCCCGGGAGCACTAGCTCACTCCCCGTCCACACTGGCAAGGCATGTAGAGCGCTCTGATGCCGCGGCTACAGCGCTGCTGGTACTCCACCTCGGCGAGTGGAATAATGTTTGCTGCGTCCCCGCTGGAGCACCGTGGGGCCAGTGTGGACGAGGTGTTGCATTACTGCGCTCTGATCAGCCTCCAGAAACATCCCATAATCCCCTCAAGTCAAGTGGCCACTCTTCTCATTGTTTTGAACTCGCTGTAGGAATGCGGATATGCCGTTTGAAAGCTCTGTTTCTGACAGCTGGCTGCTTATGTGCTCCGAGACAGATAAGTGTGGAATGCTGTGTGTGAGAGAGAGAGAGAGGCGGGGAGAAGACGGGGGGGTCTGCTGCTGTCTGAACTTACAAGACAGCATGCTGACATGCTCTCAGCCCCCCAAAACCCACTCTCTCTCCCCCCACATACACACAACACATTCCCTGTCACACTCCACCCCTCCCCCCCCATTTTAAAAGCACGTTACAGTCGCTTACATGCTGGGATAGCTGCCCATAATGCACCACTCCCAATGCCGCAAATGTGGCCACGCCAGTGCGCAAGCAGCTGTCAGTGTGGACAGACTACAGCGCTTTCCCTACTGTGCTCTCCGAAGGCGGTTTTAACTTGCAGCGCTCTACATCTGCAAGTGTAGCCATGTCCATACATTGATGTGGCTATGTGGCGGATCTCTTGAGGTCAGAAGAGCCCTTTGCTTGATTAAACTGGTATTCAGTAACCACACATCATAGTCTATTGTCTGGATGGTGAAATAAGAGCGGGGAAGCCTAAGGAGACTGCATTTTTGACTTCTTGTTAACCAACATGGAGAGACAGAAGCTTACTTTTGTTACTGGCTAGGTATATCTAATGGTAGAATAACCACGAGTTTGGGGGTGAGTCTGCCCTATTTCTCAGCAGTTTGGCCTGAATCTGGTCTTCTCAGCTGTGAGCCACTGAGCACAATCACACCCAATCAAAAACGTTTTTTTCCTTTGAAAATCATTTATAACCATGTAAAAGTGTTTTCAAATTCGAACCAAACCTCGCCAGCCCCGCTGCTCCAAGGCACTGCCTGCCTTCTGCAAGCTGCTGGGAAGTTGCAACCTTGAGCATATTCAGCACCTCACAGGAGGCACTTGACAACTCTGCAGTATGGGGCCCAATTTTGAGTCTTTTCCTGCGTCTGGCATCCCTTCTAGCCATTGTCTCCTTTCCCTGCTCCTAACTCCATCCCTTTTTCAGTAAATTACCATGGGAACAAACCTTGATTTTTTTAAAAAAATATTTTTTAATTAAATCCTCAATAAACAGGATTTTAAAGACCATCAGTCTTTGAATATTTCACTTCTTCCCTCTTCTCCACCTTTTTCTTTTTCTTTCCTGGTCTTTTGAGACTAGCCTCTCTCTCCAGCACCGACTAGAGGGTGTGCGGAAGGGATACACCAACTTTTCTTGATCTGTATCTCTTAGGGAGAAGATGAGGCAGAATATACATCCATTGTGGTATCAGCAGTAAGATAAAATGGTTTGGTGAGAGGAACTTCTGGCCGGGGTAAATATAGGCAGGACAATAGCTAAACACACACATTGTAGAATTTGCCATTCTTAGTCAGGCCATTTGTCTGTCAAGTCTGGCGTCCATTCCTAGCAAGGGGCAGAACTTGATGCTTCAGAGGATGGTGACGATACCAAGCTAATTTCCCATTGCTCTAGGCAGTGTTGGGGAAACTTATTCTGATGTGAGATCTTTACAGAAATGTTTCTTAACATATAAGCAACCAATCCCCACAATAGAAAACAAGGGCAGAAGAAGAATCAACCAAGAACCAATCCACAGCCAAAGCCAAATATTTGCAGCAAATGAATCACGCAACTCCCATCTTTTCATGCGTTGTAATATATATACTGCTTACTGTATTTTTCACTCCATGCATCTGATGAAGTGGGTTTTAGCCCATGAAAGCTTATGCCCAAATAAATTTGTTAGTCTCTAAGGTGCCACAAGGACTCCTCGTTGTTTTTGCTGATACAGACTAACACAGCTACCCCTCTGAAACCTATTATAATTAATCCTTATTCATCCAGGCTGGTCCTGTGGTTAGAGCACTACCCTAAGACTTGGTAGACCCAAATTCAATTCCTTGCCCTGCTACAGATTTCCTGTGTGACTGTGGATTAGTCTCTCTATGCCTTGGTTCCCCAGCTGTAAATGAGGGTAATCGTATTTCTCTGTGTCACGTGGGGTAGTGTGAGGATGTTTAGATTCCACAATAAGAGGATCCATATAAGTACCTTAGATGGAAAGGAGAGAATACTGAGGTAGAAAGCATTTATCAAAAAAATAATCCATGAGAAAGAGTTTGCTGGGTGCATAAGAGCCAGAGGTTGGACAGTAGGTATTTTAAGAAAAAAAAAATACAAACAAGATTGTGGCCGGCATAGCAATAGCAGAGCTTCAGCTAATGGTATCGTATATGTTATGGAGCAACACTAGTCGCTCCATAGTTAAAGTTCCAGCAGAGTTTCTGTGTAAGGGCAAATTTTGCATGACCTCTCCAATCCATAAGAGACAGCAGAGCTGCCTGAAATTTGGTAAGCCAGCTCAGCCGTAAGGGTAGTTTCATGTGCAAAATATGAAATTTTTGACAAGGGCTTCCCAAGTTACAGTATCTTTGACTGGATCTTGTTTTTTGAACAGCTGCTTTTACAGTTGCAAAAATTTAACACGTTCTTGCACATCTGTTAAGCATCTCTATAAAAATCAGTTAAATAAAGAAAATGATTCAGCATAACTTTTATAAGTCTAGTTAACAAGACTTTTGCATTAAAAAAAAAAGACATTGGCTGTGCATGGGCTGGTGCGCCTCAAGTGATTTGTTACCTTTTAATAATGGATATAAATCTTCATAATAAATTTATGATATGAGACTGTTCCCATTTTAAGTTTCTTTGCTGTTATAAAAATGTTTGGTGTAGTTGCTGTTTTCACTATAGAATCAACCAGCAAAGTGAAACCAGAGGCAAAAGAAATATCCTGTACTTAGAGATAAAATGGGGGGAAAATATCAAGTGGGTGCTTGTTAAAGCCACCTACTTGTGTTCATTTATTTTAACCACACAATTTAATTCTTAACACATTCTTCCTGAGCAGGATTCTTAAAAGGCCAGTCAGTATTAACTACTACGTACTTTACATTCACAAGACTCATGCACCTCATCCTTTTGCCCATCTAAAATATTCCACCGATCAGGAGAAAGTTGTAAATAACGTGAAGCCTTGTTAAGCTTCTCAAACATCAGCTTTCATGCTTGCTCTGTAAACAGGAAGGTATATACTAAAGAAGTAATGAGACATATTAGGACTAACACTCTTGCCCAACTGATGGTAAAATCTTTCATCATCCTGCCTTTACAGCTTGTCTCTTTGTTTTCTTCTTGGGTAAAAAGACCAGGAAGGCCAATTGGGCAATGAGCTCTTCATCGTCTCTCCTGAACTCTCCTCCCTGATTCCTAGCATGCTTTTCCCCCTCACTCCATCTCAAGCTGGCAGTGGCCCCCTTGTACGGCTACAGAAAGGGAAGCAAGAGCATACAGTTTTGGGGGGAGAACCAGATATTGTTTGGGGGCAATGGTGAATTTCTCCCCTGTAATCATGACCAGTTAAGGCCTTTGATTTAATATTTTCTGGGTTTTTTTGGCCCATATCCCTAAAAAATGGATGGACTTTGCTAACCCCACCTCCGAGAGCACCATGGATGGGGTGGGCTGGAGGCAGCGGACGGTGGACCTAACCATGAGGACGAAGTTATGGACAAGGAGTTTGAGTTGGAGGACGATGTGAAACACATGGCAGAGTTGTCTGGTGGTGTGGCGAGTCAGGACCTCTTTTCCACTCTGGAGGTGTCCAGCAGTCCGGCTCTGGAGCGCATGATTTCAGATCTGGATGCAAACTTTCCCCAGGTGTTGGTTTGGGTCCCTCTCTAATGATGTTGTTCTATTATCACTAATCCTTAGGCACATATAGTTAGCCAAATGTGCCAGACAAAGGTGCTGCTGTAGGAAATTTTGGGTAATGGTCTCAGTATAAAGAGACAGAGGGTTAGATCACAGGATGGGCATAGCTTGACAGAGGCTGTCAAGTTGGTCTTGGGGCTATGGCACAGGACCCAGGGGGCCTCACGAGATCTTACCTCAGTCGGTCCCCAGCATCGCAGCAGAACTCCCTGAGCCTCAGTTTCCCTATTGGTAAAATGGGACCACTACTTCCCTCCCTCATCTATACAGAGGCTAAATTCAAGTCTGGGATGTGGTTGGGGGGTCACAGAAGAGCCTGCACGTAAGCACAGTGCACACACACACACACACCGGGCCAAATCCTCTGCTGGAGGAATCAGGGAAGCCAGGCTGAGTGTTTGGCCCCAGGTTAGTGAGCAGCGCAGGGGGGCAGAGGCAGGGCACGTGGCCCAGGGAGGTTCCAGGGGCGTTGTTAGGCTGGGCGCTGTGGCAGCGCTCGGGGGAGCTCGGCTCGGCCCCGGCGCTGCAGCCAGAGCCCGGGCTGGGCAGCGCCGAACACTCCGCCCCTCAGGGGGGCGGGGCCTGAGCAGCCCTTGGAACGTCCATTCCCCCCCGAAGGGGGCGGGGCGAGCCTGAGAACCAGCCCCGAAGGGGTCACATGATAAGCGCGCGGGGGGGGGTGGTGTCAGCTGACCGGAAGTGGCGCGTGCGGAGGAACGCGGCCGGTCGCTGCCATGGAGCGATACGATAAAGCGGCGCCCCCGGAGCTCGGGCAGTAAGTGCGGGGCGGGGAAGATCCCGGTCTGGGGGAGTCTCGGGCCGGGGAGCTGCAGGGCCCAGCCGGGCGGGGGGAGTCCCTGGGCCGGGTGAGTCTCTTGGGCCGCTCTGAGCGGGGAGGCGGGTCCGCCTCTGGCCCAGCGGCTGCGGGGGGAGTCCGAGCCCCCTGCCCTGGGTCCCGTGGGGCGGCAGCGCGGGTGTCCCCGGGCCTCGCTGTTGGGCCTGTCCAGCCCTCGGCCCGCCCGGCCCCTGCAAGGGCTCGTCAGTCTTTCCTACCCATTCCGCGTGACCCAGACAAAGGCTATTAAACATAGTCCAGTCTAGAGAGACCAGGTGGAACATGCGGCACACGGTGGGTTTGGTGCCTGCAGTTCCCCCTTGAACTCTGGCTTGGGGCTTCTCAACACTACAATATTTTGCCACTTTCAATATACTGGGGTAGTTAAAGTAGGGGAAATTCCCCCTAGTTTGGATGCATTTATACTAATTTAGCTTATTTTGGTTCCCAAATCAGAATAAACTTTGCTGGTATAAGGCACCTTTATACCAGTATAATTGCATCTACACTAGGGCTTTTACTGGTATAAGTATGTTGGCAAAAAAAACCATCCAAACCACACACCTAAGCAACCGGTACAACTTTTAAATGTAGACCAGCCATTAATTTCTCCATATGGAAAGAGACATTTTTATAGACATATGGAAGTTTACATGTGAAAAGTTCTGGGCAGGTGCTAAGTAGTAGTACTAAGAATCCTTGGCTTAAACCTGCTTTTGACAGATCTTCATGTTTCAAAATGAAGGGTCCCCCTGTGAGGACACACTGATATTGACTCTTGTAGTTTTTGGAAGTAGGCCACGGATTGCTTGGCTGGTTAGATCATTTTATTTTGGAGTAAACACTTATACCAAACAAAGGAAGTAAGAGCTAGCAAAAGCAAATGCAAAAACAAGTTGTAGCTGGTGTATATAGAGCCACACCTTGTCCTGACAGACCAAATGCAGTTGATTAAGGGAATGCTTTTCCTTGTTTTTACCTGCTACTATTTTTTGCAAGCTCTGTTAACGTTGTAGTAGCAACCAAACTTTGTTCCCAGAGATGTTCTGACATTGGTCTATAATTTGGGTGCCCAATCAAAGAGATTTAGCTATAATATTTGCTTTATATTGTAACTTGAATTTAAAATAAATTTTTTTTTGCTCCATCCTGTTTGCTGAATGGAATTTAAATCAATGGAAACTTAAAAAAAAAAAAAGTGTTGAATGGCAGTGATATTGGGATAATAATTGTCTAGAACTCAAGTTCTCTTTTAAGTGTTGAAAGTTGGTCTTAGGTACTACACCTGCCTCTAAATCTCCTTGTCAATTTTATGGCCCTAATCATATTTTTCTATCTTTAAAACATTTTTTCTCATCTCTGCTTGTGGGAGAGATCCCCCCTGTAAAAGGGGGGAATGATACACAGTCATCAATATGAACTGATTTGTCTAATGCTTCAAGTTAAAAACATTGATTGGAATATGTGTGTGTTTTTTTTTTTTAAGTTGATGAAGGTCCCTTTAATGCTTTAGCAGATATTATTTTTTTTAAAAAGTAAAATAACTTAAGATATTTCTTGTCATAACTGTTTAATGGCAGAATTTGTCCCTGAAATAATTCTGAACAATAAGATGTTAAAATACCAGCTTTGAGTAAAAGGTTTATTTCTGGTATCTTCCAAACAGCAAATGCAAAGAAAGTTCTTTAAAATCAACCATTTGTATTTCTCCCCTTGAAGGAAAGCGGATGCACTATGTCAGATATGTTATGTGACTTTCTGTATTGTTACAGCTGCTCTTGTTCATTTCAGAAATGAGGGTTCCTTAACATCAACTCTAAGAACGCTTCTGTTCTTCACCGCTCTGATGATCTTATTACCTATTGGGCTGTACTTCTCTTCAAAGGCTTATGTATTTGAAGGTAATTCCATGCCTGCTAAACAGAACATGTTTAAGAGACAAAGCCTCATACCTAAAATACTAGGGTTTTTTATACTTTCTTTCTCTAGTACCCATTTCTTTTTACAAACTGAATGCATTGGATTAGACAGGGAACCCTCTTGGAATATGGGGCTGGAAACATTAAAGGTTGTAAAAAGCAACAGAGGGTCCTGTAGCACCTTTAAGACTAACAGAAGTCTTAAAGGTGCCACAGGACCCTCTGTTGCTTTTTACAGATTCAGATTAATACGGCTACCCCTCTGATGATTAAAGGTTGTGATATTCAAGGTTTTGGGTGCAAATGAGAACAAATTTATTTCAGTGGTTTATGCCAAGTATAAAATCTGAGTTTCAGCTGTGTAGAGAATACTTGAAAGGCTGCAGTGGTGATGTGTGTGGAAATGGTTCTGTGAAGATTTTCTTGTAACAGCATAAGCCAACAAGTGACATTCAGAATGGTATAATTCTGTCCTTCTCTAGCTCCATCTCTGTTTTTTGTTTTTTTTAAATATAGCTGAGTATGTTATAAACATTTCATTCAAACACTGTAAGAGCTTCAGATTTTGAATTCTGTTGCTTGAAGAATTTCATTCTCTCCAGCTTCCTGAAGGTTGAGGATGAAACTTGTGCTGTGGAGCCAGGGCTCTGTTAAATTGCTGACAACCAACCAAGAGCCTGTCTCTGATTCTGCAACAGGAAAAATGGACAAACCAGCAGAACTTCCTGATGCTGCATAAGTGTCTTTCTGAAGACAAAAATAGAACTTCCCTCTTAAGACAAGAGCAGCTGAGGAATATGTGACTGTTTAAGGGCCTCCAAAAAATCAAATTGTTCCCTTCAGTCCTTGTGGTTGCGAAGGCCTCTGGAAGCTGAGGTTAGAAGTGGAATAAAAGATTCAGAAAAAACTGTTTTAGTTTCCTATTTTCTTGATATGTTGACTTTTCTCTGAAGATATTCTTGTCAGTTACAACAAGCTCTACCACAGTGACCCTTTGTCTTAGGCTGGAAAGAATGATGTATTGGAAATAGCTCTAGTATCTTAAATCTTGTATTATATGGGAAACATTCATATAGTTTCCCACTTATTATCTAATACACACAGTACTTCTGATGAGGAAGCATGGTCTGTCTAGTAGCCTGAACATTTAAGTCAGCAACTCCCAAGTTCTAATCACGGCTGTACCACTGACTCAGACCATAGGCAAATATCTTAGACTCTGCTTCTCAGTTTTCCCCATCGATAAAAAGAGAACAATGCTCAGTTGACAGGGATGTTGAGGTCTGATGTTGGAGGCTGGCAGAAGAATATTTGTAGAACATTTTAAAGATCTAAAATGCTGTATTTCCAAAAGTTAACTGGTACCTCAAAGGAAAAAGGTAAAAAGCAGTGTCATTATCTTGCATCCCAATTGTAACATACTAGCAAATTCTGACCTATTGCTCTTTCTGTCTGTCCTACCCTTGATATGCAGAAATAATAAATTGGGCCTCTTTAAACAATTGCAAGTTATTGTTCTGCCTTAATAGAAACACTCAGAATTCCTTTAAATTGTTGTGCTCTTTTTGTCTGTCTTCTCAGGTACCTTGGGAATGTCCAACAGAGACAGCTATTTTTATGCTGCCATCGTCGCTGTAGTTACTGTTCATGTGGTACTTGCTCTCTTTGTCTATGTAGCTTGGAATGAAGGGTCTCGACAGTGGCGTGAAGGCAAGCAGGATTAAAGCAAGCATCACCATCTGATATCCACAGACTGAAGACTGGATATTCGTGGATGGAGTGAAAAACATTCTTGTGCTGTATACACATACGAAGTAGAAGTTAATGCCTCTGGGCTCTGAATGCCTGTGTATGAATAGTCCAAGATTCGTGCTCATCTCAGCTGAATACTAGTAATTCGTCGAAGGGTGACAATTTATAATTTAAATCAACCTCAACTTGGCAATGTTGGAGGGGCCTTCACCTGAAATTGGAGTGGAGTGACTAGAAGGAATGTGTATTTTGTATGTGTACAATAAGTGGGGTTTTTTTTTACAGTTAGTTCTGACCTGCTATAAACAAGATGTAAAGAAAGTGAGACACAAATATGGGTCAGTTATGAAGCAAAATTATGTATTACTAGTGTTAAGTTACCAGTTAAAAAGGCTGAGTAACATCCTAGTAGGACTAAAACAGAATAGATTTGATTCCCACTTGCTCTTGGTGGATGCTCAGTTTTAAAAACATGGAATCAAATTGAGCATCGCTTTGTGCTACTCAGCCATGGTAGCATGACTGTACAGTTTACATTTTTAGTGGAAGAACAGGGAGAGAATGTTTCTTATATAATCCTCAAAGGCAGCTCTTGAGAGCTAAAGATCTTGCATATTGGAGAGTGGCTTGTTAATGTTTTATGGGAACTGAGCTATCAGAACAACAGAATAGAGGATGCACTCTTAAAATTTCACTATCAAACACATCTCAAGCTCACTGAAAATCAGTAGCTTGCATCAAAACATTGTTTTCTGACTCTTACCATCACTTCTAGGAAAAGTTATTTCATAAACTACAAGGAACCATGTAATGTGGTGTCTTACTGCTTCAATAAGCTATGGCAAATGCATTTGAGGGATTATACTGCAGCTGGGGTGGTGTACTTAAGGTTTAAGACCAAATGGATGAGTAACCTCCCAAGAAATGCAATAAATCTCCAAAATGGCATGTCTGGGAATAATGTCATAGCAGTGTAGCAAGGTGGACAGAAAATTCAGTTGGTGTTTTCTATTTCATAGTAAACCATTTTTAGATTATCATTTTAAATTTTAATTTTGGCGTGTTGTGTGTTTTACTGACTTTTCTCCCAACTGATACTTTCAATATCTCTAGAAGATTTCTGTAGTCCTGACCTGCTCATACTTCCACTCTTACCACCTTGAAGCTTTGATGTAAAGGAGAACTGCCTATTATTTTTCTGTCTGGTGATCGTACTAAGTTGCAGTTGCTCTTAAACAATTCTCGCTTTCATCCACCTGCCACCACTAATTTAGTGAGTTGGATATTTCTTATGGTGCAATCATGGACAAAATACACTGAAGAGTGTGTTTGGGAGATGTGCTGGAGGAACAAGTGAGGTTTAAGGGGAGAAAGCCAGCCAAAGTGATACTCTTTAAAATTTTTGTCCACTATTAAACAAAACATAATGGTGACCACGTTTTATCATCACTACCTCTTCCATGACACATTTCCACTTTGCATATTTTGTTGTTGAATCATGAAATGAATTTGTTCTAATCTTCTATTCTCTTGGAAAGAAAGGGGCTCTACCCAAAGTCACATCAGGATGAAATTTGTCTAACATCGTTATCCTGAGTTTCATTCTGCTTTTGTATTAACTATTTTTTTTAATCTGTGTGGAGCAGCATTTTTCCTAAAATCACAGTAATCTGTAGCATTTCCTATACTTTCATTTTTTTTTTTTTTTTAAAGGCACTTTGTACCTTTGCTTTTCCTGTTTCACTTGAGTCATGTTCATATAGTTCCAAAGGGATTGTTGGTTGATGTGGGAATTGGATTGTTTGTACCCAGACTTTTGGTCTGCAGAACATGACCACGAATATGGTAAATCAACTACTCGGGCTTATGTGCACAATAGGTACAGAAGTATATTAAGATAGACTGTGACCCACCCACCCCCATGTACTAATGTCCAGGAGCAAGCACTAAAAGTGAAGCATACTGCATATTAGCTTCAGATTAGCACAGATCAATCTTTAAATCTCATCTCTGAACCATTAACTTTTCCAATCTGGAAGTCCAGTGTTAGATTGGTGCAGGCACACTAGAGAAGAGTACTGTAGTTTGAAATGCAGATTTATTTTGTAAGATGCCATTCTGAGAGATCCCTATTCCCCGATATATGTACCCCCATGTTATAGAAGAGCCCTTTAATAAAGAATTATCATTCACTGAGTTCCAGTACCGAGGCTTCGTAAACGTAAATACTTTAGCTGAATTATTTCTCGATCATCGTCACTCTAAGGCTGCTCACGTAGTAACATGACTTACAATGAACAGATTAGCTACAGCAACTTACAGAATTCACTTTACTCCATTTATAATGGGCTGACAATGAGGGCTCTGCTGTGCTTCATTGATTACGTGTACTATGTTATATCCAGGTGTTTATTTGTACTGAATGTCAGGGGTTACTAGAGCCTAAAATTACATTTCCTTGGAATTATAATGCTTACCATACGTGGCTAGTCACAAAAAAGTGGAGGTACTGAAAAGTTCCAGAGGACCGTAGCTTAAATACGTTTCAGCTATTCATAGTGAAAACGTGATTTTTATTTCCTCATAAGCAGAACATCTTAGTTTTTAAAAGGCCTCTTTAAGGAAAGTAAGACCAGAGTTTTGAGTATGGAGACAGTGGAAACAACAACCGGACAGAGCAAAGCAAAGAAGCTGAACACCCATCTAGGCACATGTCACAGTGAAAAGAGCAATATTGAAAGAAGGAAAAGAAGAGGTGTAGAAGCTGAGAAGTTACAAAAGAGCTTAAAGAATATAGCCTACATCCATAGTGGGGCTCAAACATTTAATGAGCTCTGTGTTAAACTCACTCTAAGCACTGGTCTATCTGATTTATGGCCTACTTTTGCTAATGTGTACAAGGCCAAAAGCACGTTAAAAATGTATAGTATGCTGCTTTCAAATAGGGTCCTCGCCCAACTTGCCCCATTCTGCTCTGCATGGCCAGACTTAGAAATCCCTTTAGCCGTTGTTTATATTTCACTGGGGGCTAGGAACCTGGGATCACACTCCGCTAGGAATTGTACAAATGCAGAACAAAACAATGGTCCGTGTCCCAAACAGCTTACAGTCTTAGGACCCTATGCCTTGATTTGGTTTTAAAGGTCAGTGCGCTCGGCACAAACGGAGATGCAGCAATACACCAATAAGGGCTTAATCTGTGGATGGATACTAGTTTGTGCATCATGTGTGTACAAGAGCTGTGCTAACCAGCCAGGTACCTGGACCTGTTTGACTACAACAGGATTCAAAAAAGAGCTAGATAAGTTCTTGGAGGATAGGTCCATCGATGGCTATTAGTCAGAACGGACAGGGATGGTGTCCCTAGCCTGTTTGCTAGAAGCTGGGAATGGGTGATGGGATGGATCACTTGATGATTACCTGTTCTGTTCATTCCCTCTGAAGCACCTGGCATTGGCCACTGTTGGAAAACCAAATACCGGGCTAGATGGACCTTTGGTCTGACCCAGTAAGGCTGTTTTTATGTTCTTAGAAAGTATATACTGCACTAGATACTCTATTGGGAGCCTTCTTGTGCTTCAGTGGCATGAAGTTGTATTTTAGATCGTGGTAGGCTGAATTTGTATTACGTAGTCCAATGTTCATGTCAGAGTAACATCCAAGCTAATTGTTATCGTGACACAAATTGTCAGTGTAGAATAGCCATAGACCCTTTTCTTGTTAAATAATACTTTGTAGGCTTTTAAATTATCCTGAAATGTAGAATTTGCATTCTTTCCCTTGTCTCCTGATTATTTATGTAAAACTAAACTGTGCAACAAGGGAGTATTTTTAATTGGCATTTCGAAGTTTGCCTTCATTTTATTATGTTAATGGTTTTCAATACTTAAAAATACAGGGTTTTGAACAATTGCTGGTAACAACGCAAATCTTTAACAGTTCAGTGACTGTAAACTGTTTGGATACTCGTCTCTCCCAATTTTAGGATTCCATCATCTTTTTCTTTACATATGGATTGACCACCAAGGGTGGTTGAACTAGGGCTGATTAGATAGCATGAATAGATATTTTTTTAAGACAAATTATATCTCTAAATTTTCAAAATATTGCGCAGGTCTCTAGCTCTGTGGCTCATTGAGGCAGTTGGGAATTATGGAGTCAAAAACCCAGGAACTTTCCAAAATTATTCTGTAGTATTACTTGGATAAGTCGAATTTCCTTTCTTTTGTGTGTCCTGCACAGGCTAAATTTTCATCTGATCCTTTTTTAAATGACTGCAGAGGTGTATAAGAGAGACTCAGAAATTGAAATAAGCAAGCTTAATTGGGGTTCAGGACACTTCATTTAGTTTAGACAGAGAATTGCTAAAAGAGTGTCGTGTGAAATCTATGCAGGAAGATGTCACTATTTGGGTTTATCAGTTGTTCTCTGACACTTGTTCTTTCCCTCTTGTCTGTCTGTCAGATCCCCTAATGTTGGCTGATGTAAATAAGCTTTTAATATATGGGCAGCACAGTCTGTGTATGCTGAAGTTGGGAAAAAAACATGTAAAATGTTTGGCCGGTGGGAGGAAAGGAGGGAGGGTGGCGGGTAACTTTCATTTGACTTGAAACTGCTGAAAATTACTTAAATGGACATAATACAAGCTTGTATGCAGTGCTATAGCAGTGTTGGTCTCAGGATAGTAGAGATACAAGGTGGTGAGGTAACATTTGAAGACGTGGGTGTAAGCTCGAAAACTTGCCTCTCTCACCAACCCAAGTTGGTCCAGTAAAGGTATTACCTCACCCATAGTATCCATAGTACAAGATTGTCAGTAAATAGTCTCCAGTCTGTCATGCTGCACTAGCAGAGTGACTGACTGGATGGCAGGTTTTTCTGTCTGAAATTCTGTGACGTGTGCGCACGCTCCATTGGCTAGAAAACGGAGAGACAATTATATACTTCTCACTTGGTGAGCTGCTGGACAGTAAGTGTTTGGGGTTATTGGCATTTTGATAGCTTTTAGCCTGAATAGCTTGGCAGCTGTCCTTAAATAAACTCATCTTGTTATATTTGTGGTTTAAGGCAGAGTATTTTCAAAGCCTTCCGGAAGGGATGTTGCTGACTCCTGTACCGCTGTCCAAAGACAGAGGCAAGCTGTATGTCACAAAGGATCTTTTCTGAGGACCTTCAGTGTGGACGTGTGCAGTTTAGTTCAGGGAGGCTGCTTCCTGCATACGGAGCCCTATGGAAGAAGGTCTTTGGGTGATTGTGGGGAAAACTGACAAGTGGGTGCAAGAGGGTGAGAACTGGAATATGCCTCTCTTACTGCTCTGTGCATGTTGCCTTAAACACTTTTGGACAGCATTTTATGGTATATATTCAATTAATTTCTGAGGATTATGCAAAGTACTAATGTAGCAAAGCCATTGATCTCGTATTAATGTAAGTCATGCACAAAGCAGAAAACCAGCTCTGATTTTATATTTTTAAAACTTTCAGTGTAAATCCGTAAGCAAAAAAGTTCACAGCTCTACCTCTTTGTGCATGATTTCAGCAGGCATTTGTATGCTCTAGCATTGGATGCATAGGGTCACATAGAAACAAGCAGTGTAGCTTTTCCTATAAAATCCCCAGTGATACATCTCTAAGGGGTGGGTCAAGCCTCTGAAGTATATACACTCTTAAAATCCCACAGAGCAATTGGCACCCTGTTTAGCCCTCATTATCTCTGATCTAGTACTTGTTTACATACATAAAATCAGTATTCTCAGTTTTAGGTTACTGAATGCCTCTTCGCCTCTATTGACACTTCAGGCAGGGCCGGTGCAAGGAAGTTTCGCGCCCTAGGTGAAACTTCCACCTTGTGCCCCCCCTCCGCCCTGAGGTGCCCCCCCGCGGAAGCTCTCCCCCCCGGGGAGCCGTGCGGCAGCTCCCCACCCCAGCTCACCTCTGCTCCGCCTCCTCCCCGAGCATGCCGCCCCCGCTCTAATTCTCCTCCCCTCCCAGGCTTGCGGCGCCAAACAGCTTATTGGTGCTGCAAGCCTGGGAGGCAGGAGAAGTGGAGCAGCGACGGTGTGCTGGGGAGGGGGTGTAGCAGAGGTGGGGTGGGGAGCCCTGCTGCAGCTCCCCCCTCCCCCGCCCTGAGGCACCACCCCCCACCACGGCAGCTCCCCCCACCCCTGGCCCGGGGAGCCGTGCGGCAGCTCCCCACCCCAGCTCACTTCTGCTCCGCCTCCTCCCCGAGCACACCGCCCCCGCTCTAATTCTCCTCCCCTCCCAGGCTTGCGGCGCCAAACAGCTGATTGGCGCCGCAAGCTTAGGAGGCGGGAGAAGTGGAGCGGCCGCTGCGCTGGGAGAGGGAGTCTGAGCCGCACGTGTTAGCGCACCGCCGGCAGCCCAGCCCAGGAACGCTGTAAAAAAAAATTGGGGGCACCGCTTTTTGGTGCCCCCAAATCTTGGCGCCCTAGGCAACCAACTAGTTTGCCTTAATGGTAGCACCGGCCCTGACTTCAGGGGCCAGCATTAGCGAAGGCCAAATTGGGCTTGAATGGTGCATACAAAAAGGAAATATTGCCAAGTGCTGGGGTTCAAATCCACTCCTGTGTCTGTCAGTAAACACTATCGTGGTGTGTTCTGCTGTTCCAGGGAGAAGCTGTGAGAGGATTGAAGCAGGATAAATGGACCATGGTGGTGCTGTAGGTAGCACAACTGAGGTTGGGAACAAAGATGAACCTTTGGAGATTTGGTTCTTACTATTCCCTTAGAATGATGTCTGGTTGGGATCGAGGAGGAAGGAGGGATGTTTCCAGGAGAGAATGTCCCTTGAGCATCGGTCTGCCTCCTTCTAGTGGGGATAGAGAGATGCAGGGGCCTTCCATTTCTGGAGGGCAGGGGAGTTGATGGGCATGCTGTTTGGTGGGAGGGTGTACCGGTTGGGGTCTAGCTCATAAATTGAAGTAGAGATACATGTAACGAGAAACACCAATAACA